TAATAACTGCAAAAATTTTAGTTGAAAATACCAATGGGTTCCAGAGATATCGTCAGTTGAAATGATGCTAACTCAGCATTTTAGTGATTTTCTGAAGCGACTACAAAGCAACTTTGACATACAGTATCTTCATAATGGCTTGGGGAAATTCCTAAAATTTGGTACTCTAATAGATTTTAACTTGAGGAATCCAAAAATAGCACTGAAATGCCTCATTCATCCAATTTTGTTCAAAATTATTGACTTGTAAGTTAGTGATTTTTGGAGGTAAAATAAAGACTGTGGCCCAAAATCCCGAGTAAAAATTTTAATTGTATATCATTATTTCATCTTAGGTCTACTGTAAAAAATCAGATTCATCAATTGTCTCTCTAATACATGATCAAAATTTGCATTTAAAAATGGTGTCTTTTTAGAAAAATTTAAATTTTGTAACAAAAGCAATTAAAATATTTTTTTAAACATTTATTTGGATAAAATACCAAATAGTGTTATTTATTGACTAGTTTAAATTTAAATAAACATTTAAAATCATGGGCCAAGGGAGATGCCCTCCCTACCCACGGGAGGCCCCTACGCCCCCTCCCCAAATCTCCCTAGATTTTTTATTTTTTTTTACATAAAATGAATAAATTTTTTACATAAAATGAATAAATAATAGTTGATTGTTAAAATACATTTTAAAAACATATTTTTTCAGTTTAAATTTGAGAAACGATTTATTTGCGTTACTTCAAATCGATAAATACTTACCTCTAATTTAAAAGATCTTTTTATGATTTTAAGTCATAAATTTCAAAAACAAATGTTTTAAAATGTTTTTAAAATATTGACAATAAATATCTTTATGTAGTTTTAGACTAATATAGTCATTGACATAATAAGATGGGAGTGATTTGTGATTTATTTAAACCCCCACCCCTCCTTCTCAGCCTACAATCCAAGGAAAAAAATAAAAGACATTTAAAATGCAAATTAGGTAAATAAAATAAAAACAAAAATATTTTAAGCATAATTAATTTTTTTTTGTAACCAACAGTTTATATTCTCCAAATCTAAATCAGTTATGTTGTATGTACGACCTGATATTGTTGTGGGTGTAGAAATTAGGCATATAACTTCAGAATTGAGCACCCAACACTCATCAGTTCTTATTGGCCAAAAGAAGTTTTTACCTGGTCCATGTGGATGCATGAATCTGACTTTTATATCAAGCTCACTTACATCTTCAGCAATCCCTACCCACCAAAATCCATCATAAAAACATGCAATATAATCCATTTTTTTAATATTTAATGAAATATCTACATAATGTTTGCTTTTTGGAATGATATCAAATATTTCAGTGCATGCATCAATACTTATTTTTTTATAACTTATAGTGTTTGGAGCAATTGGAATAAAATGATGATACATCCTTGTGCCAGGAACTGTTCTTCCACCTAAATGTCTTTTTTCTAATTGTGCTCGTGTTTGATCAATTTCTTCTTTTAAAAATAACTTAAAATAAATTCCATTTATCTTGGCTTTACAAAAGGAGTACATTAAATTAACATCTAAAATCTGCCCAGTAGTTATTTGTTTTAGACTTTCTTGACATTTTTTTGACTATTCTTTTAACAGTCCCACCAATACCATCACAGGGGGATTTACCATGACTGGTAGCAAAAAATACCCATTTTAGCATTTAAATCAAAGTCTTTACTGTGATGACAAAGATTAATAAAATTTTTAAAATTTTTAAATTGTGCTGCACAACCATCAGAAAAGTATTTCACACTTGATACATCAGGTAGATTTTCTTTGATATATCTAGTTATATCTTCCTGAGTCGGTTTTGAAAGGTAACAAAAAGATTTATGTTTGGGAAGTTTGTTCTCTATATAATAAAGTACAACTGTATAAAGTGAGCATTGACTTTTGCTCCAGTGATAACTTTGAACCTCATCCTGAACAACATATTGATAGTTTTCAGCAAAATCTCCTAAAATTAAGCATTCGTTTTGGTTAAGATTTTCTTTACAGTTTTTTAAGTATCTACTTTGTGTTTTTGCAATATATGAATGAGTGGTAAGGTTGTCAATACTGTCACATAATAAATCAATAAATTCATCTAGTGGCAATGACTGTGAAAATAGTATTGTATGATCTGTACTCTGCCATTGCTTAAATACTACATCTTCTTCATGCTCATGGTCCATAAACTCCTGCACTAAAAAACTTTTTAACGCTTCAATACCAGGACATTGGTTACATCGATGCAACATACATTCTGCATTTTCAAGAGAGCAAACAATCAATGCCATGAAATCTTTATAACTTTTATTCCACCTAATGGCATCAATGAGAAATTTTGTATTTTAGTGATGTATGCAAACACATACATTGTGGGTACCTGACGCATTAGTTGTAATACACCATTTAGGTTTAAGAGTACAAAACTTTGACAAACTGACTTTGACGTTAGGGTAGTCTTTTTTAAATGCAACATGTAATTCATTAAGATTGAGTAGCAATAATCTTTTTTGAACATGTTGGTTTTTCTTAATACTTACATAATCTTTTTTTCCTGGCATCATTTTTGAAAATTCATCACTTTGGTAAAAGTTAATCACTAAATTAACTGTTTCTGGTGAAAGTGGGCTTCCAGTTTTTTTCCCGGGTAATGATAGAATTCCATTCTCATTTTTAACTTTTCTTGCTGTTCGAACAAGATACTCAGACACTTCAAAGTAGCTTGATATCTTTTTACGTGTCCATGATTTTGGTGCGAGTGTTAACATTTGCACCTTATGGCGATAAGAGTCAGTCTCTGAAATTTTATTTTTTATTTCATACATTAAAATGTCTAGATTATGGTCATTGTTAATGTTGTTGTTTAAAATGGGGCTTTTTATTTCTGTTGTTAAAAAAGTTTTTTTAATATTATATGCTAATGAGACCATTTTTGCAACTCTGTCAATAGTGTTCTCAAACTTTTGTTTTGCTACAGGCAATTTGCTGTATTTTGAAAGACTTTTTAGTTTGACCGGTGAGATTCCAAGCAATTCTATAGTGGTATCTAACTTAATTTTTTTCTCACTTTTTGATTCCCATTCCTCCTGTGAATTTAAATCTTCATCAGTTTCTATTGCTTTTTTGTAACATTTACTGCAGAATTTCCAACCTGGGGTTACATAAACATTATTTTTTTGCAAATAGTTTGCCATGTCTATGGAAATCTTTATAATACCTAATAAACAAATTTAGTTTTACGTTGTTAAAATAACTGAAATTATAAAACTTTTTATAAATAATAAATTGTTTTCTTTTAATTTCCATATCAATTCTGTTGTAAATAAGGTAAGATTACCTTTTATAGCAATTTTTTTATTTTCCTTGTGTGTTCCAAAAGGATTGCAACACTTTGTAATTTTTCTCTCAAAATATTTTCCATAGAATTGCTCATGATAACAACATATAATTCTTATTGAACTATATTTTTCCTTTAAATTTGCTTGCCATATTATTTCTTCTTGTTTTTCACAAGGAAGATCTTTAAATTGAACAAAACCTTGTTTTCTTAAAAATCCAGTTTTGTGGCAATGAATGTTAAGACTTTTTCCAATGTCACATTTCTCCATATTAATTATTTTTATTATTTATTACCTAACAAAATAATATAAAAACTATAAAATTAAAAGTAAATCTTTAAGAAAATACAAGCAAGTAAATACCTTTAAAAAGAACAAAACAAAACTTATGTTTGTTTTTTTATATAAAAGGAGGTTTTAAGTCACCAATTTGAAATAATGAATTTTTTTTTTTTGTTTGTTTTTTTTTTTTTTGCATAAAATAAATAAATAATGTTTTTGCATTATTTATTCATTTTATGCAAAAAAAAAAAAAAAAAAAAATCTAGGGAGATTGGGGGAGGGGGCGTAGGGGCCTCCCGTGGGAGTGAAGGGTATCTCCCTTGGCCCATGACAATAAATGTCCTAAACTATTCAATAAATGACACTATTTGATGTTTTATTCAAATAAATGTTTTGAAAAATATTTTAATTGCTTTTGTTACAAAAATTAAATTTTTCTAAAAAGACACTTTTTTAAATGCAAATTTTGATCACGTATTAGAGAGACAATTGATGAATCTAATTTTTTTCAGTAGACCTAAGATGAAATAATGATATACAATTAAAATTTTTCCTCTGGAATTTGGGCCACAGTCTTTATTTTACCTCCAAAAATCACTAATTTACAAGTCAATATTTTTGAATAAAATTGGATAAATGAGGCATTTCTTGAGATAATCGAGTCTTAAGAGTGCTATTTTTGGATTCCTCAAGTTAAAATCTATTAGAGTACCAAATTTTAGGAAATTTCCCCAAGTTATTATGAAGATACTATATGTCAAAGTTGCTTTGTAGTCGCTTCAGAAAATCACTAAAATGCTGAGTCAGCATTATTTCAAGTGACAATATCTATGGAACCCATTGGTATTTTTAACTAAAATCTTCGCAGTTATTATTTTTTTGATATGGACTGCAAGTGGTGTAAAAATAAACAAATTCTGAGACGTAAGGGTGTCATGGTCTGGATGATTTCATATATTTTTACCCTTATGTTATATGTTAATACACTATGACCTAATAGTCTGTTATCGTTGTTTCTCAATTACATATTTCTTAATTTCATTAACAACTTTCATGTTCTCAATTACACCATTAAAAGGTTTAGTTCTATTTTGACGATTTTAATGAAGTTTTATTTTAATTATTAATTAATTTTATGAATTAATAATAAAAAATGAAAAATTTCAATTATTTATAAATTTAATAAGAATAATTTAACTATAACTTTAATAATAAAATTAATTTAATAATTATTCATAAATATAATAAAGGTCTATTTTAATGAAGCTATATTTCACGTTGATACGTGCTGGTATCAAATTTTAAGTAATAAATTGTTTAGTTAGTTTTTTTTCTTTCAATTGACTTACAATTACTTTTGTTTAGACGTTTTTTAACAATACAGTTGTCACACAAGTTGACGTACCGTCAGGTTCTGGAAATTTTTGTATACTTGCTCAACATGTACCAATCATTGCTGTTTTGAGACCTGGACTTCTGACTGTCACTAAAGATGGTAAATAAGTGTTTTGTTTTTCCAATCCACTTATCAAAGTGAAAAAAAAAATACAATAGTATATATGAACTTGTTTATAATCGAATTGAAACTTTTGCTGAAATGAATTTTATTTTTTAGGTAGTGTGGAGAAGTATTTTGTTAGTAGCGGTACCATAACTGTTAACAAAGACTCCACTGCTCAAATACTTGCTGAAGAAGCAAGTCCTCTTGATAGATTTGATTTAAACAGTGCCCGAAAAGCTGCTGAAGACGCACGTTCTGCTTTAAGTATTGCAAACACAGAAGCTCTCAAAGCGGAGGCTCAAATTCAGGTGGATACCTGTGATGCTTTACTTTTTGCACTTGATGGAAAATAACCTATTTGAAACAGATTGTTAGGGGGTGCAATAATTTAATTTAGAATTATTCTCGAAATATTTTGATTAGTTGTGTCATCTTCTTAGGCAAATATGTAATCCTAATATGATCTTCGTTTCTATCATATAATAACCTATTTTTTAACCAGTTTTTAACAAAAAAATTAATTTTTTTTTTATAGTAATATGCGCCACTGCTCTAAAATTTGACCGCCAGTTTAAAGCCATTTAGTCTCAATTTAAAAATGTTAGCCTTAATTTAAAAACCCTGATTAATTTAGTCTCTACTAACATAAAGAAATCGGAAATAACTAATTTTAAAATCAAAATCCCGTACAAAATAACGAAAAAAAGTCGAAATAAAATCCTTTCAATTCGGGGAGAGAGTATTCTTTACATGGTCATCAGTTCCAATCTCAAAGTTTTTATGATAAAATTTAAAATCTAGTAATAAATTTTAATGTTATTTAAGGTGGCATAAAAAAAATCTAATTTTCCTAGACAATATTGTTAGGCCATAGTTGTTCTCAAGCTTCAATTAACACGATTTTTTGTATTTCATCCTCGTGAAACTGGTATAAATATACAAAAACTTCGAGTTATTTAAATAAATAATAAACAATAAAAAAATTTATGTTCTGCCCATGATATATTTTACAACAAAAAGGCATTTTATTTTCCTATGTTTAATATGTTCTGTGCTTAGTGACTGACTTGGTATCTTTTTCAGATAAGTTTAAACTTAGCATGCACTGCTTTTCTGGTATTCCGCAAAAATCTCCTAGACCTAGAATGGTGTTTTAGAAAAGGAACAAGGTGATTTACAATAATATGTATTTTCATATAGTTTAAATGTTAATCCTTCTATTTTTGTTTTGAATAGCTTTAAAAATATTAGCAGTTATTTATAAATGTTTCAAATTTTGGATTCAAATGTTTTTTTTATCATCATGGAATTATTTCCATCCTATCTATCTCCATGGTAGCCTCAAATAATAGTATGAAATAAAGAAGTAAGATTTCAAATCTGGAATCGTAGACAAATATAAGACTGAATGAAACTCTAAACTGTTCCCATTAAGTGCAGTTCTGGTTGAGCAATCTTATAAATAAACGTATCATGGTTCTAAATAAATCAATCTTTTATTTATCACATTAATATAGTTTGACATTTTATTTTGTTGGACATATCATAATTATATTTATCATAATTATCAATAATCAAGATTTCAAAAATGTTTCTAGATCTCCAAAAGTCAAAAAGCATAACTTAGTACAGTACAAACAGGCATTTTTCCAGTGTGCAAAGACAAACCCAATACATCAATTGCACATTTTAAGTCAAAAGCCATACTTTAATTCTTTCCACTTGAGTTTTAATATGACTAATCTTAAATTCCAGTTAGATTAGGGAACGTCCTCAACTATAGCTAAGCGCTGTGTACGTAGAACTCCAGGAGACAAAGTTAAAATAGAATTATTGTTGTTGGTAAATAATAAGTCCAACATATTTTTTGGGGAACCATATGTTGTCTGGAAAGTAGGGAATGTGATGTGTCGTGTAAAAAGGCTGTTTTGGTAAATGTTCCAAAATTCATACTTGTTAGAATTTTTTGGATTAAAAGATTTGATACCATTATTAGACCACTTCATATTTGGGAAATTAAAATCACGATCAAACAGTCATTGTAGGGATCTCTTATTAAGTTATGGGCTAATTTGAAAGCTTCAGCGACAGTTTTTAGATTAGCATCATTCGGTCTATATATACACCCAATATGTATGCGTTTATTATTAACTTTTACTTACACCCAAATTTGTTGATGCGCGTTCGTATAGAACTGATTAACTTCGTGAGAGTTGAATAAGTCAGTAATGTAGATAGCTACACCGCCACCTCGACGTTCGTCACAGCAATCTTTACGATATAAGTTATATCCATTGGTGTTAGGAACTGAGTCGTTTGGAAACCATGTTTTGGAGACAGCAATAACATAATAGTCAAACGTTCTAGCTATTGCAATTAAATCGTTCATTTGTTATCTACGTCTTTACCCTTGTATTTTATTTTCGTTGTTAGGAGAGTAAAAGGAGGGTAGTGATTCTGAGGCAGTAATTTAGAGATTTTTGAGCTTAACAACTCCGCTGCTTCTTATACCGTATCTAATCTTACTGTTTAACTCATTAAGCTTCATTCTTAATTGATAGTTAATTGCTCAGCTTCAGTCAGATCTGGGTATATAAAAACATTTTGTAATCATCTGAATTTTTTAATTTTTTCGCCGATGTAAATAATGGGTTTCTTTCAGAAACATCTGATTGTTCAACGATAATTGGTTCAGGTTTAGAGGACATAGATTTAATACGTTTTACAAAATTTGGTTTTGCATCAGATGCGATGGTAGTTAATATATTCTGAACCGTTTTCGTATCGTCGACTTGCTTTTCTACATCTGATAACAATATTTGGATTTAATACTTCTGATTTTTGTAATAGTTTGACTATTATATATTTGGAAAAGTTAATCTAACTCCAATTGTTGTTGCTTTATGACTTGCTTTAGTTTGGTTATTTTGGCTAGCCATTTTGCAGATTGAGCTTCAAGAAGTTTTTGGATTGCGTCATCGACTTCTTTAAATTGAATTGGTGTTAAATTAAGTCATCGCAAAAGATGTATATATATATATATATATATATATATATATATATATATATATATATATATATATATATATATATATATATATATATATGTATATATATATATATATATTATATATATATATATATATATATATATATATATATATATATATATATATATATATAATATATATATATATATATATATATATATATATATATATATATATATATATAAGGGTGTCCCAAAAAAAAAAAAAAGCTCTCTACTGATTCCCATTCTGTGTGACCTAAATAAGTACTAAAAAAAATTTACGGTTTTATTTTGACAGGAAGTGCTAGATGTAAAATCTGAGTTTTACTGTTTTAATGTTAAGCTGGCTTAACATTAAAAAAAAACACAATTTTTTTACATTTTAGAAAATTAAAACAAAACAATTAAATGCGTATAAATCATTTCCATTTGTTTTCTACTATTTAACTTGATAGTTTATATTTATAAATATGAAAATACAAAGAAAAAAAAAAAAAAAGCATAAAAACTAATATTTATTAGCAAATTTAAGATTTTTTTTCGGTGAAACATTTCTCAAAAAATACAATAGCTGAATAATAGTCTTAATACTCTAGATGGTTAAAAATATCTATAGTATTAAGACTATTATTCAGCCATTCTTTTATACTTGCTCTTGATATTTTAAAATGTTTGAAGAGAAGGTAGCTTTGCTCGCAAATCAACTCAGGTAGCTCTGTGGTCTCTCCAATTTGTACATTTGATGGTTTACAACGCTGAAATTCTCTGGCTCTTCAAACTCAAAAGGCTCTTCAAACTCAATCAGAGCAAAAGCATTCTTAGCTTTGTTTCAGAAGGAACTTCTCCGTCCCCAAAGGACAAAACACAGAGTTGCGAAGTTAAGTACCACGTATGGCGTCCCATGCTGAGAAGCAAAGCATTTCCAATATTCTTATTGACTTTTTTCAATGCATAGGTTGTCTGGATAGTTTTTAAATTATTATTGGGAGCCAGGAATCCTAAAAAAAATTTTCAAAAACCATAGAACATAGCAAATTGCAATGAACAAACTTGCATCCTTCAACTACAGTACTTATTTTTCTGTCAAGATATTACTGATATCTTTGGTCATATAGAGAGTCAGGATGTAAATCGCATCTGCTAAAAACCTTGCCTCAAGGCAGGCGCCAGGTTGATGGAACTTAAAATCTTGTACTTCCGCTCCAAGGAAGAAGGAAGCAAGCTTACAAACTATACCATAATCATTCCTTGAAAACACCATATCAATTGTTGCATTAGTCAAAAATATCTTAGCTTCCTCTGCAACAGTGCGAAGAACAGAGCCAATCTTCAGATCATCTCTTTGCCAGTCCAATTTACATAAATTTTTCACTTCATTAACTTTCTCACAGATTTCAGGCCACTTTTCCTTTACCTTGACATAAAGAGCTCTTCTCGGACCTTTAGTTTTCTCGCCAGTAAGAGCAACCATATAGTGAGATACATGTACTTTATATATGTGTCTCCTACACATTATCCTCAAAATTGGTATTTTCAAAATATCTGTAAAAATTTGGACTGCTCCATTGACTCCACCTGTATTGCTTGCAGTTGTATCACAACATATACCAATGATCTACTCTTTACATCCGTAGTGTTCTAAAAAATTGTGCACTTGTTCTGCTTGGTCAAGTCCCTTTAAAGAGGGACATTGAACAACACCTAAAAAATGGTCTTCCATAGTATCGTCATCCGAGGAACTCACTGAGACTGCAAGTTGCTCGATTTTTTGAATAATGTTAAGCTCAGTGGTAATTTGTTCCCAGAGTTTGGTATCAAAATGAAGAATAAGCCGTCGGCCTTTAAGATGATTAGTTATTGAAATCCACTCCAAGTCTCCTTCAAGTTCTACATATTTGAACTTATTTCTATGAAGACTGCTTCGTGAAAGCGGTATATCATTAATTTCTATACCTCCAGCTTTAAATACTTCACTTAAAATTACCAGATGAGGTCGTACACCAACATTGAACCTTGTATCTGGAATAGCAGTACATTCAATGAACTTTTCAACATTCACTGCTAGATTTATCCTCTCTCCAGAATTGTACCTAGATATCATTTTTAAAATACTTTTCTACATAATTATAATTATATACATTTCAATAAAACAGTTTTAGCTTGTGAAAATTACAACTATGCTATAAAAATAATACTATATCTGCGTTTCCGACCGTTACCCAGGAAATCTTCTTCCTCGCTGATTTTAGAGTCCTCGTTTGACTTTTTTTCTTTACTGCTGAATTAAATCTCTTCTGTCATGCAGTCATGTGACAAAAAAACATCATTGATATCTTTTATGTTTTTCTGTCTCTTAAATTCTTTCTCTATCAACTTATTTAGCTTGTT